TGGATGGGGATCTGAGCAACCCGGTCTGTTTGAAGATGACCTTGCTCATTGCAACAGGGATGGACTAGATGACCTTTAAGAGTCCCTTCCAATCCAAACTAATCTATAATATGACATGGAAACACTGCAGCAAACCTCTAACGACCTAAGCAGCCATCAATGATCCTAACATTTTAAAATGCACCAAGAGCAGAAAGTTCCCTAAAGCCCTCAAGACAGCAACACAATCAGCATCATGCTACCAAAAACACTTGAGTTGTGTGGAAATGACCTCAGTTGCTTGGTTGATGTTCCCAGAAGACTGCATGAGCAAATGCACATTTTCTGTCTCAGTCTTTCCATGGCAGTTTGCTTAATATTGTTGGGAACTTCCCATGTGTGGAGACCCGAGGCTTGACTCCATTTCTAGAAGGTTGGTTTATTATATGATGATATCTATTATATTAAAATACTACATAAAAACTATACTAAAAGAACAGAGAGAAAGGATCATCAGAGGCTTGAAAGAACAAGAATAGAATGCATAACAAAATCTTGTGACTCTCAGAGTCCAATGCAGCGGCATCTGTGATTGGCTCTTAATTAGAAACAACCAACATGCACCAATCACAGCTGCACCTGCTGCATTCCACAGCAGCAGACAGTTATTGTTTGCATTTCTTTCCTGAGGCCCTCAGCTCCTCAGCAGGGGAAAATCCTGGCAGAAGGATTTTTCATAAAATATCATGGCTACAAATATTACTCATGACTGTCATGTTTAGAAACGTATCCAGACAATGTTCCTTGTAACACTCACAATTCCCATCTGAATTACCTCCATGCACTTTGTTTAAAAAGTTTCCTGCAACTTTTCATCTAGGACTAATAAACAGAAAAATGAATTCTATTATACATGTGAATGCTTATCTGTGTTCATTTCCCAAATAAAGTTTTGCAGTATTTGAAGTATGACTGACAAATTAGAGTTAATAATTGTCTTATACTATACATATTTACCCAAAAATAATATTTCTCAGTAACAGCAAGTAGAAAACATTATATGTTATATGATACATCATAGGATGCAAAGAAGTGTTCTCAGTTTCATTAGTCTAACTTGACAAGTCTGACTTTGACAATCAAAACATTATTTTGAAGTCATAGCCCACAAATACCTAGGTTTATTGAGAACCACTGGACAGACCTTATTTTAAAAGGTGAACATAATCCACATTTTTAATGAGGAAAAATTAATTTTTAAACACAGTGGTTCACATTTCTCTTCCATGAAGAGCTACTTGATCCATTTCCCAGAATATGCTTTGTATTTTGGCACAAATACAAAAACTGAGCAACTGTAACATTTTCCCTTCCATGTTATGAACAGCTACTACAAAACATACAATCCATTCTGGTCCTTTCATCAAGTTAGAAGAGGAACTCCAGCAGCAAGTGGCCATGAAATGGACAAATAAATAAAGCTGGATACAAAGTAGAAGACAGGGCCTTGTGCACCCATTTAATATTTATGTCCAGAGAGGCCAATGCTCAGAGAAGTTCAGTGCTGTTGAAATTAAGAGCCTTGTTCAGCATGAGATACACGAGAACACCAGCCACAACAAGAGTGTTTCAAAGCTGTTTTAGTTACTTTTGAGTTAATGACCATACACAAACCAGGCTTCAATGTGCTCCTCAAAGAAAAGCAACCTTACAATGCAGAATTACCTTGACCGAATATTATTTGCCTTCATTGAATTAAAAAGGGGACAGTGAAAGCAGTCACTGCATTTACATGAGCTAGTTGCACTGTACAGGCAGCCCTTACAAGCACCTCGGGAAGTAAATACTGTTGCTTTGCAATTGTGGGTCAGCAAAAAGTTCTGGCAATTTGCAGAGAATCTTAACACTAAGCTCATGGGCAAATCAGAATGTAGAACCATAAGCAAAACTTCTGAACTTCCAGTCACCACCCACTGATTTTTACTTCTATCAACATCAACTGTGTTATTACACTTCAATTATGTGAATATAAAAGGAGGAAGACTTAAAAGAACCCAAACAAACAAACCCAAACAAGAGATTGCTATTTCAAAGACAGCTCTCTGTGTATCCAAGAGAATTTGTCCTTGGTGACACTTTTTAACTGTGGAGCCTGGCAACATTTCTGCTGCCTTCCCTCTCTGTGAAGGGATTCAATGCATATTTAACCTGTCCCACCAGAAAGATATTTCATAACTTCCTACACACACTCTGCAGTCAGTAGAGAATTGAAAAATGCACTGCAACTCAACACAAATGATAAGATTACAAAACAAAGAAAAAATAAGACACTTTAACATAAAGAGGTCATTCTATTCTCTTTTTCATCTTTATCTGTGACCAACAAGCTAAGAATTCCATTCTGAATTAATTGTTTTAATTGTGCAAAACAACTTTTCCTCTACCGGCACCACAAACAAGGACAGAAACATAGGAACAAACAAAAAATTATTGTGATGTGATAAACAAGATCCACATGAACCAACACTTCAAATAGTGGCTTTTTCACAGCAGAAAAGCAGAGAAATAAAAGTAAAGCTAAAGTAAAATTTACATTGTCAAACTAGGAACCAAGGGTGAGTTTTTTGTCCAAATGAGCTGTATGTTACCAGAGAAGTTATGACTTCTCATCTTTAATTTTAGAGGCAGCAATGAAGTTAAGAAAAATGCTATCACCAAAATACACACCACCTTGGAAAGCTGTAGCAGAAAAGCAGAGAAATAAAAGTAAAGCTAAAGTAAAACTTACTTAAATTTGCATTGTCAAACTAGGAACCAGGGGTGAGTTTGATGTCCAAATGAGCTGTATTTCACCAGAGAAGTTATGACTTCTCATCTTTAATGTTAGAGGCAGCAATGAAGTTAAGAAAAATGCTATCACCAAAATACACACCACCTTGGAAAGCTGTAAGTGCACTAGGAGGGTTGAATGAGGAAAGCCTGAATGAGTTAAAGATGTGATCTATCCCTAACACTTTAAAGCTTACTGTAAGGAATTAAAAGATACTAGTCATTTGCATATCCAAATTTAGAAATTTAAGTCCAGCTATATATTAAGTACTCTCAACATAAAAAACACAATATATTGTCTGGGAGAACTGCAGACAAAAGTTATTTAAGGATTAAAATAATAAGACCAGTTTAGAAGTAGTTTATGGTGCATTATATTATATTTGCATTCTATTATATGTAGAAAGAAGCAAGCTTTTCCTAATAAAATCTGGAAAAAAATAACACTTATTTCAAGAAAGGTACAGACTTTCCTGTATCACACACAGCAGGTTTTACAAAGGAGAAGATTTTCATACTGCAAAGCAGGAAAGGCAGCAGGGCTGGAAAGAAGGGGATGTCAAGGTCTAAACCACAATGATGAAACTGTCTCTGAACTACTGCTGAGTTTTATTACACAAGGTTAATTAAAGCTCACTTTTTTGTAAGTGCACTTAAACCTCAAAGAGTTCAAGTACTTAATTAATGCTCAGCATCACACCAGAACTCATGACAATGCACCTGATCGTTGTTCAAATGTTTCACAAGCTGTAACTTACAGAGCAAGCAGGGAGAGGTCACATTTCATTTCAGGATCTGTAACTCTTCCCACATCTCTTAGAGACAGAGGAAAACATGGAAGGATAAATGATCTGCCTGATAATTGTGTAACAACAAACTCTTGAAAAATACATCTTGAAAGGGTGTTGTCATAACCTTACACCTTGACTTCTATGTAGGAAAGGATGCCAGACATACAATTAACTAATTTTATTTTTTCCATTAAGAAATCAAATAGAAGTGCATAAAAAAATACACCATACACCCTTCTCCAGTTACTTGAACATTATCAGGAGAGTAAGGTGACAGAAATGTGGTGCAACTACCAAACAACCAAATAAACTTCTTTTTTCAGTGCTTAGCTATACTTCCACTTAGAAAACACATTCCTCTTTTCAATGGTGAGAATTTTTTCCTTATCGACAACAAAATATTTTCATACTTGAAGCCTTAATTTTATTTTCCTCTGTAGATTTCACTTTCTTCCTTTCCAGGCCTTGAACATTTCTCACACGTCTCCCCGAGCTCTCTCCGAGAGCGCCCTGCCACCGCGGGGCCGGGGCTGCTCCTGAGCCGTGCTAATTGGGCGGCAGCTTCGCAATTAGGAGGGAGGCCCTGGGAGAAGTGGTGGATGGCGAGCTGACTGTGAGCTGGCAGCCGGCAGGAAATGCAGGCAGCAGGGTGCAGGCGGAGGCAGTGTCCGGCTTTCCAGGAGCAAAGTTCACAAGCTAAAACACGAGTTCCACCTCAACACGGGGATGAACTTCTTTACCCTGAGGCTGGCAGAGCACTGGAATAGGCTGCCCAAGGGAGTCTGGGGTTTTCCTTCTCTGGAAACATTCAAAACCCTGCTGGAGGCTTTCCTGTGACACCTGCTCTGGGTGACCCTGCCTTTGTCTCCAAAGGTCTCTTCCAGCCCTCACTACTCTGTGCACCTGTATAAAGGCGTTATAAAATTCAGTACAGTTTCCAAAACGTTGCCAGCTGTCAGTCTGGCTGCATATACTCATGGCTCTTTTTGTGTAAACTGGGGTTACGTTCGTTTTGTGATTTGGTTTTCTTTTCGTTTTTAATTGGTCTTTGATTGGGGTTTTATACATCACCACAACAGAACGTGAGCTGGCAGTGCTGTGCTTTGTCAGACATTGAGCATATGGAGGCATTGCCTGGGCAAGGCTCAGGACACCTCTCCAGTTTGTCTGTGACACTGGTGGAGAGACCAGCCCAAGCTCCAAACCCAGCAGAGCTGACAGCAGGGAGATGGGAGGTTGATAATGTGGCCTGTCAGAAAAGTGGGAAAGAATCCAGTTCATCAGAAACAAAACAAAGCAAAAAAAGAGCAGCAGATTGAGTTGTAATTCATAAAGCATTGTCACAGAGGTGAGAGGGAGTTCATCAGAAACAAAACAAAGCAAAAAAAGAGCAGCAGATTGAGTTGTTGTAATTCATAAAACATTGTCACAGAGGTGAGAGGGAACACCATCTCCTGCATGTCCATCATCTTGTGACTCACTGTCACTGGAGGTTGCAAAGATGAGGTTGGAGTAGGAGATTCCAAACATTATCAAACATGCCCCAGGCTGCCATCTCCAGTAATTCACCTTCCCTGTTCCCTGCTGCCTCCCCACCCTTAGTTCTGCAAGTCCAACACCACCTGGAAGCACTTCTTTCTAAGCATCCCAGCAAAGGTTTTGGCACCAAGTAGCCACCTGCCTGCCTGCTGGTTTTTCTGCATGCTGCTTTGGCTTTGGTTCTCTCTGTTAGTGTTGACAAAATACTTCCCCCCGTGTGGAGTCTTGCTTGTATTTTTCTTGGGAATGTTTTTAATGGGCATTAATGACCGAGGTGAGCAGTAGAGCAGCTAAACATTTGCCATTTTAGAAAAACTTCTCAAGCTTCTAGTTGCTGCAATTAAAAAAAATGTTAATCCTACATAAAAGCAGCTTTTTTACTGTGGTAATGTAGGTAGAAACATTACCTCTGACAGCAGAGATACCTTGGTTAATATACAGATATGGGTATTAATGTAATAAACAATGGAATGTGGAAAAAATACAAGATTATTTTTTCCTTCTAAAGAAATATTTTAGTAATGCAATTTGCTTTCTGACTAAACTGCATGTAAAGCAACTTTATGTAGTAAAATTGTAGGAATGTAACGTTCATAAAATCATTTGCATATGTTTTTCGTGGTATTTTTGAGTGCTGTTTAAAATGTTTATTGACTAATAAAGTCTGTTCTACTGAAATTTGTAAATCCAGCAAAATAAACCTACAGCAAAACTGATTTAATAGGAAAACTATTAGTCAAGCTTTTAAAAATTGAAACTGTTAGATGCATTTATTTTCCCTTTTTTTTGTGCAGTAGTCCATAACATAATCCTGCTGGTGCAATAGCTGTGGGCCATTGCACTCAAGTAAATTTTAGGTGAGACCTTTCCTGTGCAGGATAGTCAGACTTGCACCTTATTTGGGGTTTTGTTTGTTTCCGTGTGTGATGTCCCTGGCAGAGCATAAAGGGCAATGTGTAAACATGCAATTATTTTGTAATTGAAGTTCATTAGCATAAATTAGACCATTTTGCTGTAGTATGGAAGTACTAATCCTTTAAATCCAGTTTGAGAGCTTAAATTCTTAGGTTTGATGATGTGTTTCTGATGGTTTTTCTTTAATTTATTTATTTTGTTTTCAGGATGGGTTACATCCAAGGCACCTTATCCCAGAGCTTTGTAGACTGTTTTATGGTCTAGGCTGGGTAACAGGAACTGGTGGAGGAATCAGCTTGAAACATGGGTAAGTCATAGAGATAATGTGGTGAGAGAGAGGCTGGCTGTGTTTAGTAGCTGGTGAGGGCATTTCAGTCCCATGAGAAATGTTTGAAAGAGTGAGCAAGAAGTTAAAGGGGGAAATTAGCAGTATGCCAAAATTAACCATATAGGAGGAAGGTGAAGAGTCTGAATTAATCATTGCAGACCCTTCAATGGGGAGAGACAACTTCAGAGAGTGACCTTATCCTGTCCTTTGTTTAAGGTGGATTTAAAGAACAATGTGTTCCCCCTTTTCATTTCACTGACTATGGAATTTAGAGTGGGTTACATCAGGCACACAGCCTTCAGATGCCTGTGGTTAAGTAAGATCAGTCTCACCCTGGATGTATTTTACAGGCCAGACATTTCCTCTAAGAAGAAAATTACTGTTCCACTGAGGTAATTTCTAAGGGGACAAATACTTTACCTATAATTAAAGCACGACAGGTAACAACAGTTTTTGGTTTGTGTCTCCTACAAAGAAGCACCACTTTGTGTTTTAACTTGCCTGTCTCCTGCCTTTTCATAATCCCCAATCCTTTTAGTGGGAACGGAGCTCCTCTCAGTGGCCACTGCAAAAAAAGATAAGTCCTCATTCTGCAAAGAGCCTTGCACAGTGCCTGCAATTCTGTACCCAGTCACAAGGTTGTGACATGATCTTGAAAGTTTCTGACCTCCCATTTTTCTGGTATACACTTGCATGCATGCACAGCCAGCCATTGCTATTCAAAGATGTATTTTATATATATATGAATAAAAAACCCTAAATGCTCATACTTGAGCTGTTTGGACTTTGTGCAGATCATTTCACCTCCCTGCTTGATTTTGCAAGCAAAGCCACACAGTAATAATAATGAGATGCATGAAAAGAGGATAAATTCTGTGGGAAGATCTTTCTAGCACTGATTTGTCATCAGTATCTAAATGTAGCCTATTTTCTTTGTCATTCCAGTGCAGCTCCTGTTGGTTTTGGCAAGACAAATAGCATTATCAGAAAATGCACTAATACAGTTTTCCTTAGTAGTTTTATAGCTTGTTTAGTTGGCATTGTTAAAAGGGAAAATGTAAAAGAACAGCTGAAATTTGATTCAAATATAACAACTGTTTTTACCAGGTAATCTTAATCAGCCTTACTATGCAGTTCGTACCAACTATCAAGGAAAAAATGCCAATTTGTACTTGGCATAGCATATTGAAAATGGATGTAGAATTCTTTGTGAGGTATCTTGTATTTGAAGACTGTTTAATCATCAGATTAAATAAAGACTTTATTTAATCATCAGATTTTCTCTTTCTGATTAAGTTCTTAAAAATAAAAAAATCTAGTTTAAGAAAAGTTGTGTTGTCTGTAAGTAACTGAGTTCACCACTTGATTTCTTATCTTGCTCATGCAAATGAATCAAGACTAAATTAATGCAATGCCAGCAGTGTTAATTCATGAATGTCAAAAATTACAAACATGATAAAGCCGCATTTTTCTGTGCTTCACAGACATTTTACCACTATGAATAGTACATCATCTTAAGAGTTTTATTTTTGGAAGAATTAAAATCATGAAATTGTTTCGATTGGTAAAAATCCTTCATATCATTGGATGTCCAACCATAAACCTACCACTGCCAAGTTCTCCACTAAACCACATTCCTAAGCACCATGCCTAAATGTCTTTTAAAAACTTCCAGAGATGGTGAGCCAACTGCTTTCCTGAGCAGTCTATTCCAATGTTTGGTAACCCTTTCAGTGAAGAAATTTTTCCTTATGTCCAATTTAAACCTCTCCTGATGTAAATTGAGGTAATTTCCTCTTGCCGTGTCACTGGTTACCTGGCAGAAGAGACCAACTTCATCTTGCTACAGCCTCCTTTCAGGCAGTTGGAGAGAGCAGTGAGGTCTCCCCTGAGCCTCCTTTTCTCCAGGCTAAACACCCCCAGCTCCCTCAGCTGGTCCTCACAAGACTTGTGCTCCAGACTCTTCACCAGCTCCAATACTCTTGTCCAGAACTACAAAGATCCCATGGTCCATCATAGGAAAAGTGTCTGTAACTTGACTAATTATTCACTAGATGTCTCTGTGCTCCTGAATTTAGTACGTGGCTGCTGAAGCCAGATAGTGATTGCAATTCAGAGAGAGAACATAGTTGTGGTTTTTGTGCTAATAATGAAAATAATGCAGTACCATCTTAAAATTATTTTAGTTTCAGTTTTTACGTTTTTTTTTCATGTAGTCCTTGCAAGAAGGGATGCACTTCTACTTAAATTTCAGTCATTTAATTGCACTGAATTAGTGCTATCTCTTTATCACAATAACTAAACACGGAACTGCACTAGAAACCTAACCTGCACAGTTAAAATAAAAAAGTACTTACAATGTTGAATGTTGCAAATAATTATTACTGTTTAAAGATAGTTTATGGATTTTTATGTAATGGTTTTGTCCCCTGCCTTGTCACAGATCAGTATCTCTTTGCAATTTCTCATTTAATTTTTATTCTGAATTCTTGGAATTTGAGTTGCTGCAGGGAGAGGCTGTTTTTCTTTGTTGGAGAAATAAGGCTGCACTTCTTATATGTGTTTCGGATATCTGTCAAGTTGAAAGCAGGTTTTTGTACCCCTGCAAGCTAAAGATTTATTTGCCCTTGTACAATTTGGTTCTATTTTGAAAACTGTCTACCTGTCAATGTATGGGAAGAACAAGAAAGTTTTTAAATTGTGAGGGTCTAGATTTGCTATTTCCTTTTTATGGTTCAAGAACTCGAATGCCTGTGCAGTGGAAACAGTCATTGCTCAGCTGTGTTTACTGATTTTTCTCATCTGCAACTTTTCCTAGGGATGAAATCTACATTGCTCCTTCAGGAGTCCAAAAGGAAAGAATACAGGTGTGTTAAACTGTTCTTCTTACCTCAGAACTCATCTTGAGAAGGAGGAAAGTGCCTTTGTCTAGAGTTTCATTTTTCCTTATGTGATGTTACAAACTTGTTGTACTGTTAACTACATTACTGAAACAACTGCTGCTTTCTCCCAGTATTCCACTATCACAGCAAGCCAGGATGTGTTTCAGTGGCCAGTGTAGATTAGTCTTGATCTTCTCCTTGCTTTAAATTAACACAAAGCAGCATGATAGTGGAGCATTACTCCAGTCCAGCTTTATTCTTTGTCAGGCTTGGTTGGCTAGACCTGTCTGGCTACAGTTTCAAGTTACCCACGTGAATAGACATTAACACCTCATTGCTGTTTATTTTCATTTGAGTGATTGCAAATATTTGTCTTGATACTCTCAGTAAATAACTGGGCTCTCCCCATTAAAAGGTGACCTTGTCTTTCTGTCTGCTTCCAAAAAACCCATAATGTAAGAGGAGGGGGGAGCGGTAAATGATACCTGATTCATGACAGCAGGAACTCCCCCAGAATAGAGTAATACATGGAAAGGATTTGTCATCCCATTAATCTGAGGATAAATACAGTGAGGACTGAAAGGAATTTCTTCACTGATAGAAGCTTGGGGTCTTAGAGCAGTGTTTGCTGGGGATGTGGAGAGGTATGTAAGATAACCACGATGCTCTGGTCTGTGCTCGCAGTGACAGAGGATTAAGCACAGTCAGTGAGGCAGTCTCCTCTAATCGTATTTTCTGCTGATTTTTAAAATAACATTACAATTTTACTACTATCCTGAACAATTCTCTGTACCATTATGAATAGCTAATTGATGCAAACCTAAGATTCATGTAAAGCTACTAAAAGCAAAGTTTAAAATGAAATAGTTCTACAAGTTAAATGTATTATTTTTAACTTATGTTGTTTGTTGGCTCTTTTAAGTGGGGAAAGAAAAGTACATCTATATTTCTTACTTTGAATCAGTTACTCCTTTTCCTTTTAATCTGTTGTTATTACTGAGCTACACTATCTCCTTTCTGAGAAAATTGTAGTTTTACAAATATCTTCATGGCATCAGTTTGAGGAAAAGGAGTACCTAATATTAATTTCCACTGCACAATGTTGGTAAGTGCTATTAGAAGCTGGAATAAATGCAGAGCATTACAGCACTTTTACATAGTTCAAATCACATTTTGTATTAAGTACATGGTTTGTCTATATTTTTTTCCCTAGAGGGAAAACAAAACTATTTGAGGTTAAATACCAAACAGAACTAACACAGATTAAAATAATTTCTTCTTTCTTACAGCCAGAAGATATGTTTGTTTGTGATATTAATGAACAGGACATCAGTGGTCCTCCGCTTCACAAGAAACTAAAGAAAAGCCAGTGCACACCTCTTTTTATGAATGCCTACACTATGAGAGGTATGTAGCAATGTTTGCAGTTCAGCAGTGACTGAAACACTGTATATGTACATCCACAAAATTGCTATTCAGCACCATATTCTTTATACATAGAAAGTTACAATGAAATAAACATGAAACTATAAAATAAGTTGATTTACAAAGGTATATATACAGTGGGATATTATCCATCCTAACATCCTGTCAGTATCTCTTGCAATTTAATCCTCTCTTGTAGCTATGTTTGTGATCATGTTTTCAGCACTGATTTTTAGTGCAGAGTATTGGTAGGTTGCAGGGGAAGCCTGGGATTACAGCAATTTTATATCAGTGGTTTTGCCAATTCAGCTATTACAGTTTAAATCCTTTTGCATCCATTGCCTGAGATTAACAGTTATAAAATAGAAATATGTGAAAACAGTATGAAACTTTTCTTTTGCAGGAAGACAGCAATAGAGAACTTTTGATATTGTGTAAAATTTACATCTGTTATTTTAGAAAGGATTTAGGGAGTCTCTTCTGGTCTTCCTGCACAAGCAGCTTACATGTGTCTTCAAGAAATAACAACATTGCATCTTTATAAGTAGATTATGATTATTACCTATCTTTCCATCATGACACAATGAGATGATGAAATTTTTTTTCAGAGGATCAGGAGATAATTGAGGAAAAGATAAAACGAAAGTAAAAGGCTTTAAACTTTCATTTGACAAATAAGTTTGGGAATTCTTTATAACCTCAGAACTCTGATAAAATTAAGAGTGTTTCAGTCATTGTAGTATGTAAAGAAATGTACAAGTAGTGTTTCTGCTTGAATTTATGCAAGCAGTGTCCCTCCTGGAATGTGTCACTAACTGAAGGTTAACACGAGTGTCCTAAGACAATCCATAATTATTCCTTATATGAGTATTTACCTCATACCTTCATTTAGGTTGCTGTATATTTTTTCCTCTCATACAGCAGATCAACATTTGCTAAGATGCCTAATCAAAGGAAATTGATCTAGTATGTGAATACAATTTTCTTAATAGAGACATTTAAAAATTAATTCTAAATTTTCTTTTTCTCTTCCTAGGGGCAGGCGCAGTGATCCATACACATTCCAAGGCTGCTGTTATGGCTACCCTTCTTTACCCAGGGAGTGAGTTCTCTATTACCCATCAGGAGATGATAAAAGGAATCCAGAAGTGTACTTCAGGAGGCTATTACAGGTACTTCTCTATATTTAGGAAAAGAGGTGTGATGTTTGATCATTTGTTTTCAGCAATATCAATACAAGTCATTTGAGTTATATACTTGAAAGTGTATAATACAAGGCATTAAGAATAAGAAGTAAAAAGACCTCTGGAATGAATGAGTCACCACTGGCTTTCTGTAGAATCTGAAGCCTGTGTAAGAGATCTGAGATAAAATCTTGTAATGCCAAGGCTGCTGTGGTCTGTTGAGCTACAGGAAGAAGCCAAATAAAGAGCTACATCCTGAGATGTTACCACATCTGCACAACATTCAGCTGAACCTGGAGCCAGCCATCACCAGGTTGGATTGATAGCATGTACAAACTACATTTGGGTGGACTTCACATATCACTGCCTGTGCTAGTTTAGGGCATGTTAAGAGAGTAGAGGATTTCAGATTTACTTGACAGAGTTTGAAAGAAAATTCAGAATAAACAGCTCATTAAAGATAATGTTATTACTTTTCAAGGATGAGCTCTGAGGTAAGTGCTGAGTTATTCCAAATTATGTGTGATGGCTTGTTTTGAGGTCTCCACCCACAGAGTGTTGAATTGGGATCTGCAAACAACATTTATATAACATGTGACAAGGAGATGAGAAATTGAAATGCTAAATTCTTTCCACTTTTTGATGTTAATTTTTGTATCTAACTATTGCCCTTTGGCAAGGGAGCAAGCCATATGATTTTACGCCCAGGCATATTTTATTCCATTTTGGTTGACTTGCCAACTTTACTTTCTTGTCACCATTAGCATGTGCATTTTTAATGTGGTAAAAAGGAAGCCCTTGTACTCAATTGTCTAACAACATCGTTTTTTGTTTTTTTTAAATCCACAACATTATTTGCATTTTGAGCTCTCAAGCACTCCTAAATATTAGTCAGGAAACATTGTATTTATTGGGTTCCATACCACCAAGTTTTCTGTGTCATTCTATTAATTTACCAGAAAAACCCAGAAGTCAAAGCTCCAGGTTATATGGCTCATAAGCACGTGTTCATTCATACTAGACTGATTCCATTGGCTTGCCTCACACAAGTCTACCCATTGAATTCAAAAGCAAAATGGGACCTTGGATTTAAAATACAAAATGGCACTTTTCAAAAATGGGATTGCATGTTGTTTCTAGTTGCATAAATCTTTTACTGGAAGCTGTCCAGGAAAATGCTACAGATAGAATAATCAGAAGTATATGTTGGCCTAAATATGACTCCAGTGATGCCACACTAGTTTTACCTTTGATTTCCATAGAAGGAGAATTAGATCAGTAGTAAACAGGTTTGAAAGTCAGACTGTCACAAGGTATTTTACATCCATGTTTGACTAAATGTAGGCTGCTTATGTTTCAATTTTAAAAAAAAGAGATTCCAACTATTTAGTTAATTCTTGACATTTTTTAGGTATTAGTTCTTGATAGAAAGCTTATGGTCCTGGTTAGGAATCAGTTATATTTATAGCAGCTTCCAAGCTCAAGCAGAACCTAGGAAGTCAATCCATTATCTCATTTGGCCCAATTAGTAACAAACACTCCAAGTGTAATTTCAGTGATCCAAATTTATAAGAGTCAACGTAGAGCTTCAAATGCCACCTCACTTTCTTCATTCACTATTTTTATAGCCTTCCTTGAGAAAGTGTCAGCATTGAGAACTGTAAGAGATGAGACTTTATCTTCTGAATATTTGATTTCAGATACAAGCTGTTGGTGTTGGGTTTTTTACCATTGCTTTCTTTCCGTGTTTCACAAAAGAAAGTGCTACTAGCATCCACTCTTGAAATATCTATGTGATCTCAATGATAAATCTGAACCTGAACTGGGGACTTATTAAAACTGTTTAAACAAGTTTCTGCTAGTGTTAATTAAGGTTCAAACAATGCCAAATATCCCAGTCCTCCTTCAGAAGAAACTCTTAGGCAAGTTCCACTGAATAACGTGCATCATCTTGTCTTGGAGCTGGGGTTCTCAGGCTCTCTTAAGATCACATGTAGCCCACCAATGACTCCATCACAGAGAATTTATTTTTCATGTGTTGACTCTACTTTCTATTTATATGCCTTAGCAGGACAATCTTCCAGGGGCTTTTTGGACTGCCTAAATTAATTTTTCTTCTGCTCTCCAGCAAACAGCTTCATTTCCTTCTATATGATATGATTCTTTTAAATAATTTAATCTGAGGTAAAACTTGTAGATGATGCCAGTACAGGATGAAGAGTTTGAAAAAGTTGTAAAGGGACCCAACTACAAAGTGATATGGGAATAAACAGCTACACCTAATAGATTAAAGTGTTGTTTTCTTTTTGTGCCTCAAGTGTAGCTTGGGTATTGCCAGCATAATATGTGTTTGGGAGTGAGAGACGTTCCTGAGAATTCCTGTGCTACAGCATGGCACACAAGAGAAGACAATAAAATCTAGTGCTGAGAATTTAACATTTTACACAGTCAGAGGATAACTTCTTTCCTAGGGAAAAGTTTCATACATCCAAGCACAGGGTTTTTTAAATACATGAAAATGTCTTTTTTTATAGATATGATGATACACTAGTGGTTCCTATTATTGAGAATACACCAGAAGAGAAGGATCTCAAGGACAGGATGGCACGTGCAATGGAAAAATACCCAGACTCTTGTGCTGTCCTGGTCAGGCGTCACGGTGTTTATGTGTGGGGAGAGACATGGGAAAAAGCCAAAACAATGTGAGTACAGCTCAGGAATATGCTATCTCTTCTCTCAAGATCTTAATGAACTTAATGCTATGTATATTTCCAGCCATGGACAATGATTCAGAATATTAAGGCCTCGCTGCATGTACAGGGAGCTTTTGGGAATGGATTCATCCACGATTCCATTGCTTGGTTTTCCTTTCATATCAGTGCTGGCTGATAGGGTTGCCAACATTTTCCTTTCAGACAAGTCAACAAATCCCTCCTCATATGAAACATACAGGCAATCTCTGCTTTTATATGACACCTGCCAATACTGTTTGTGTAACCCTCCCTAGTCCCATTTTTGGAGTTTACCTCACCTGCTGATGGAAATGCAGCAAATCAATATTATGTAGGAAAATGGCACTTTCCATTCCTCAGCACTGGAAATAAACAATAATAGAGCTGTCCAGTCAGACTGTCACATTGGTGATAAAATCTTAAGGAAGGAAAATACTAATTTTCATAAAACATGATAAGGCTTGAGCTTTACTTACATTGCATTTTTCCCCTATTTATTTTAGGTGTGAATGTTATGACTACTTGTTTGATATCGCAGTGCAGATGAAGCAGCACGGACTAGATCCTTCAAAACATCCAGCAGGAGAAAATGGGATCTTGTAAATGTCAACAACATTTATACTCAGGTGTGAATTTATCTGTAAGGATGATCTGTTTGGAGAGAGAGACTACAGATGACACCATCACTTCAGTCTGCTTTCCCACTCAGGAAACTTCAGTATTGCTCATCTTTCCCCAGTCTGCTCTGTAACCACTGCAGTTGTGTCTATGCCTGAAATAGACACAACTGCAGTGGTTACAGAGCAGGTTTTTCATTATTAGACACAATGCAGCAAAATATACATGTATTAATATGTCCATTGGATATTTAGTGCCAATGGACAGCATGGGGTGTCATTTCTTTTTAAAACAAAATAATATCAAGTATTTCCAGAAAAGCCAAAAGAACTAAAAAGGCCAGAGCCTAGTGAGGTGATGTGGACAGAGATGTCTCAACACCCACATTTGTTCTTTTGCAGGATCAGGTTTGATTTCAGACCATCTCACCAACCCAGTTGGGTTTTACGGGGTTTGGTTTTTTCCTTCAGTGTGTCTGGTTTGAGTTTGACTGATTAGTGTTACCTGTTTACTTCATGCAGGAAATCACATTGACATTTTTTTTTCTACTGTAGCAAGGATCAGTTTTGAAAGTTTTCATAAGAAATTTTTGAAGTTAAAACCAATAGATGACATGATCAGGGTGTACTTGACATGAAGGATACCTGAAACAATTCTCACATATGCACAGCTTGGTATGACAAAATGCAGTGGTAGCATAACATTTCAGAGCTGGAAAATACAAGTTTAAAGGTACCAGTACTGAGATTATGAAGGAATTTCTTGACCAAAGCAGCGGTGTAATTAAACAGGATAGGCTAATGACAAAGGCTTGCCCAAGCAACATGAGCCCAGAAGAGAGAGGGACTTGGCTCCTCAGGGTGGGCCTTTATGCCCACCATGGAGGAGGAAGCAGTGGAGCAGGAGGTGTGCTGTCAGGGAGCCTCTGCCTTTGCAGGTGTTTAGGATGCTGCTGCTGCCTACAGTGATGCAGACACTTTGGCTGCCACACCTGCTCAGAACTACCTCATGGCCCACGAGGGCCACTCTAAAACTTCTCCTCAGCCCCTGAAATTGGATAAGTTGGGCTACTGTAGTGGCATGAATATTCCTTTGCCTATTTATTGTGACAAGTTTTAGAATATTTTTGCCTTTACTTTGTTTCTCCTGTGCAGGTTTCTCACATGATGATGGGAGTTCCAGCTTTCACCCCACACTATTGAAGCCAGAAGGGGGTGCTGATCCTCAGCTGATTGACAAATGTCAGCAGGAACTTTTAACTCCTAAATGCACCCAAGAATTAAAGGAGCGTTAAAAAAAACCCAACTACTGAACAATCATTGCAATTTACAAGTCCTGTTGAATGCCACAGTAGGAGGAATGAAAATCCAGATGCAAAAAGACTTTGGAAAAATTTGGAGAACTAATATCACGTTTTGGTTTTGTGCCTTAAAAATATGCATTTCAACAACCTGCATTTGTTGATCCTGCACTAATGCTACATCATTTAACGTGAAATAAATCTGCATTTCTGAAAGTTGTTGTAGCTTTTTTTCTTCCAGAAAAAAGTGAGGACAGCCCCTTAATTAGAAGTTAATAAAGTTTAAAGCATTGTTTGAACTGTTGATTCCTTCATACCATGTTCATGTTTATGTTTTGAGGTTTTTTCTTTTTTTAAAATAAGCCTGTAGCATATGTGTTTTTAAATTCTTTTAATTGTCATTATAATGGGAAAGAAATTTTATAGCATTTTGTAGTTGTTACTGAGGGACTGCTCTGGGTCTTACCTTTTTAATTCCTTCACTTTGAATAACAGCTTTTTATGACCTCTGCTTAGCACTACCCCCCCCCCCCCCCCCCCAGGTAGATTTAATCAAACTGGTCATTAAAACACAGCCTCACCTAATTATGACAGTATCTTCTTTTAAAATCTTGTGGAATGGTCCCCTGGTGGCATCAGTGTAAGCCTCAATTGACCAGTGTTCTAATTGAGTATTGAGACCTCAATCCCGAGGGTGAGCTGAGGCAGGCTAAGTGCCAGCTGACCCTGGCTTCTGCTAGGGGCTGTGCATTCCCACCACTTCCCCTTCCATCATCTCTGGCACTTGTTTTTTGAGCTTCCATGAGGTGAATTAATTCTTCAACCTAAAATAAAACTACTGAGGGAGTGGGGAAAAAATTGTTTAAATTATTTCCTACTAAGCCACTGCTAAAAACACTGAATCAAGTCAAAGGTGGGTCCAAACAGAACCTAGAACCAGGGCAAGAGGAGATGGCTGATGCCAGAGGTGGCAGACACCACTTCCCCTTTTTCCTGGGGATGACAATTAAGGTCAGTGTTTTGTGTACCTTAGGCATGTTTGCCCTTCCCTCTTGTACCTCTGTACCTGCAGTGTGCAACATTTAACCCTTAGGGGGACCTTGGTTATTGTGAAATAATGATTATCACTGAATAACTACAGGTTATTTGTTATATGTTTTATTGATGTTTTTTCATTATTAGACACTCGTCTGTCAATGGGAAATAGTTTGCAGTGATTCCACCTCTTAGTGTATGTGGATTGCAGTAGAAACTTGTGTGAAAATGCTGGTTTTTGGACCACAGGGTGACTGGACAGGCTGCTTCACCTAACCATAAGATCTTGCTTTGTATTTGTTATATGTTTTATTGATGTTTTTTCATTATTAGACACTCGTCTGTCCGTGGCAAATAGTTTGCAGTGATTCCACATCTTCTTAGTGTATGTGGATTGCAGTAAGAACTTGTGTGAAAATGCTGGTTTTTGGACCAGAGGGTGACTTTGGACAGGCTGCTTCACCTAACCATAAAAGGAAAAATCCTAGCAGAGGCTTTTTCACTAAAAATCCTAGCAACAATAACATATCTCTGAAGTGTGTTCAAGACTTGAGAGGTGCAGCTGACCTTAAGAGAAAGCAGACTGTAATTCTCTTAGCTTTTCTTCCCTGTGGATGTACTAATAAAAACACTTCTTCATATGATAATCCAATTAGTCTTGAAATCTAGTTGCCATCTATTTGTTGTGGCCTTTAATTCTTTATTTTAACTTTTTATTTTTGCAAAAAATAACTTTGTGTGATATTCTGATGATGATTTCAGAATAGGTGATAATTGTATGGTTCCGTGATACTGATGTTTTTACATTTGATGTTTTTTTGTTTTGCATATGTAAAGACAGACCATAAAAGAATACTCATGAGGAAAGGTATTTTTTGCCAAATACATTCTTCTGGGGTTGTGTTAGTTACAATATTCACTTTCTCATGCAGCTACAATTTGCTCTGTAGCCTTTCTAAAATCTGTAAATCATCACATTTCTACAGTAGTGGTTAAGTTCTTTCATACAGGATTCCTAGATGCTCAGAGTCCCATTCAGTGATTTGGAAATGAGTTAAATGCACCCTTCTCATATCTTCTGATATGAATCCTAATCAAAGAAGTTAATGCTTTCACAACTCTGGTGGCTTCATAACCCTGAGAAATAATTACTGTTTCCTGAAGTGCTCAGAAAGCTCTGGCAGTTCAGCTCCGATTATGTAGAACAAAAATAGGAAAATGTCTCATACAATTCAAAGCGTCTTGACTCACATAATTTTTAAGTCTATCTCTTTTCCTGATGTAAATAGTAGGCTTATAAGCCAGCTAGGTATTTTTCTGTGTTTGCAGCAAAGACTTGATCTCCACCAAAGCTGATTATCTAGGTTTAGTATCACCAGATAGGCTCATGGCAGAATGACATAATTCCCGTTTAAATGGCTCATCCAAAAAGCTAAGTAAGTTCCAACATTTCTCAATAAAAGTAGCTTCCTAGCAAACATCCTGCTTGCTTTCCAAGAAGGAAATAAAACTGCAGAATACAGGATCTTGAAATGTGAAAGAGATAGAACTCTTAACTTACCGTAAGCAGTTATATGTTCTGTTGTAAATGCTGTAATGCCTGAACAGTTGGCATCCTCTTCAACTCTGAAATTTTAATTAAAAAATTAACATTAAAAAAGCCCACTGACTAGTGGAAAATTACAAATAAACCAGTAGCCTTCCTCTAAACTGTTTTCTTTTGCTGCACATATTGGCAAACAGGTTTGTAACAGTTTTTTGCTATTTTACAGAAGATGGCAAATGGGAGAAAAGATCCCTTGAACACTCTAAATGGATTACTCTCATACTGAGGAGTAGAAGAAAATATATAGTTTGATATTAATCCTTCCTGATTTCAAAACAGTTAAAAAACCTTTGAAAAGGCTTCATTTTCCAAGCTCCATCGTACTTGTATTTAAGGTTTGTTCTAAGGGGGGAGGGGGGGGTGAACCCTTGCAGGCTTTGGTTTTGTTTTGTTTTCCTGCCTGTTAGGTGAAATAGAAGTTGTGCCTTACAGTACCAGGTTGTGTCCAAGGACAGCCCTCTGAGCTGAGGCAGAGTTTTTAACAGTGTGTAGAGGAGCCTGTGATTGTACTTTGCTACTAACTAATCTAAGCCTTCACGGATCTGGACATTTGCTTAAATTTCAAGTCGGCTTAATGTTAAAGGTTTAATGTTTCTCCAGAAGAATGCTACCTGACCTGATTTTTAAGAATGAATTTTTACATCCCTGAGTCTGAAAAAGAGCTCTCAGGCATTTATCCTGGTACTGCTCAAGGTTTTGCTGCATATAATGGGTGGTAAATAAAATCTGGCTTTTGGTTGATTTGATTAGCACAGGGCTGCATTTCTGCTAAATATGAGTGCCAGAGTTTCAGCATATACTGGGTGGACTATTGCAAAATTATTTTGGAGGTGAAACCTCTAGTGGAACCACATCCATTGCCTTATTCTTAGGATTTTAATCTATTGAAATCAAAAGCAATTCCAAATATTAAATTTTTAAATTTTTCTATAGTCTTCACACTTAATTTAGCATCTGCTAGTTTTTCCTAGAGCAGTCAAAGAAAACCAGTGACTGCCTAATGCTCAGTGCAAAAAATGGATTGAGCATGTTTGTCTGGATGGCCAATTGTGGAAAGTCATATACTCTGAGTAGCATTGACAAACACTCTCTGTACTTATATATATATGTGTGTTGGGCTTTTTAACTGTAAGAGACCGTGCTGTTGGACTAGCAAGTTTCTCCCATCTATGACAGATAAAATTACACGTTAATCTCCAGAAACCAGATCAACAGGAATTTATTTAAGTAGTGAAGCATAAATTCTCTCTCCTTAATGAGACTCAGATTAGCTTGAATTTCTCTAATGGTAATTTCTGGTTATTACAAACAGAATACACTGGATATAGAAGAAAGAATAGGTTTTATATTTAAAACAAAGAGCTGGATGTCTAGATTTTGTGGCTGATTGAACTGTTACCTTAAGGTCATGCCTTGAACAGTTCACTTTGATGGGAGTTTCAAAAGACCTTGAATGAATCAGATACTACCCTAAATCCCATTGGAAAGTTATGGGATTCATTTTGTTAGGCTCCCCTCTTAACTCTGAGGATGTAGCTGTCATTATTTCAATCAGGAGTAAAAAAGAAAAAAACAGAGAAGGTCACCTTGAGTACAAGCTGCCAACTTATCACTGCTGTGTCCCAGTTTGACATCAAATATCTAACTGGTATTTTTCCCCATGCTAGAAACTTGTAGTTAAGAAAAAGATTACATAACTTGGTTTCACCTCGAAGGAATTTACAAACCCAAGAAATCAGGAACTGAGCTGTCCTGCTTACTCCAATGTGCATTAAGACTACCAAAAGTAACAGCACAATTTCTGTGACTCCAATTTCTCCCTTCCCAAACGATACCAGCCGTCTGTCTTTCCAGATGAAGCCTCTGTTTTATAATATCATTGTTTTAGTTCCTGTTCTCCAGACAAAGCAGGCTGCCCTGACAGTCCCCGTGTCAGGGCAGTTCCTGAGAACACTGGTAAGGAATATGTGTGAATGACGACTGCGTATTGCCTGGGCTCAGCAGTTTGCTGGGTATTTAACATGAACGATTCAATTTCTTTTGTCTTTATGCTTTGTCTCATTTCCGTGTTTTATTCAGTTTTAGTCCTGCTTTTCTGTAAGATTTTCTTCCTTCTGGTGTTTTCCTTACAATCATTGAAACCAAATGTAAACTTAGTACCATTTGCATTCTGGTTGAACTTTCAAACCCAGGAGTATTTTTGTGTTAGCAAACATCTCTTTCCTGATTCATCTGCTACATCCCTGACATATCTGGGCATGTCCTGTTATTGTCTGTTTGCAAAATTTTGGTACTTAAAACAGTTAATGTGTCTTTTGTATCTCAGACACACTAGGATTTTGCAAGCAAGTGTCTGTTGATTGCAAGAGCATATGAGCAAGTATGAGACTAATTTCCTGTTAAGGAGTCGCTACATTAAAAGGATATTTGCATAATCATAGACCAAGATAATGTAGGGAAAACCCCTGAGATCATTCTGCTGCCAGGATTAAGCCAAGCCCAACATGTAATTTATTTGAATGCATGAAAGCTGCTTCTTATCGTTCACTTCTATCTCAAGTCTCCAAGCACTTTAGTTG